TAAAACTTGCAGAGGACAACCGGGGTCAAAACGAGGTCTTAGACGCCTATTGGACTATTGCAAGGAGAAGAGTCTTGGCTAAGTTAGAACAATTACATATTCAGGATCAACTAGGTTGGAAAGACTGGCTGGACCAGAGAAATATTATCTCAGGCGACAGACTTACGAAAGATACCTTCAAACGGTTAATATTGCAAAAAGCACATCCGCCAATGAAAGAATTAGCACACTCTTTCGCGACTCGGTTACTGGTTTCTAGTGACCTGCAACAGATGTGCGAATACGCGAGATTGTATTTTGAAGATATCTTAACTACTCGGCGGCCTTATGATGATATGGATACTGATCTAAAAATCACGAGCCAATTTTGGAACCGTTTTAACAAGACCATCTCCTGTAGCGCCCGTCTAGACCTGGAGAGACCACTGACCTTGGAGGAATTACACAGTGCTGCCAAAAAAATGACAAAAGGCAAGTGTCCTGGGGAGGATGACCTCCCAATAGAGGCTTACTTGGCACTCTGGGTGCATCTTGGCCCAATGCTGTGGGACATCTTCAATCAAGCTCTAATAGGGGGAAAACTGACTAAAAGTATGAAAAAATGAATAATCTCTCTGCTATATAAAAAAAGAGACAAGAAAGGAATTCGAAATTAGAGACCTATATCATTCCTCAATGCGTCTTATAAATTGTTAGCAAAGGCATTATCGTTACGCCTGGCGAGATACTTACCGGATTTGGTAGGCAAGGAGTAGGGTGCCTTCGTAAAACATAGAAGTATCATGGACAATATTGTGACAACAATACAGGCACTGGAAATCATTACAAACAACAACGTTGATGTGGCTATTCTATTATTAGATATGGAAAAAACTTATGACTGCATTGGTTGGGCCTTTGTAATGACTACCCTGAAACACATGGGTTTTGGGGTACCATTCGGCCAATGGGTAAAGATAATGTACTCAGAGTCTACAGCGACAGTGATGGTAAATGGTCAACAATCTGATGAATTCATTCTCACTCGTTCCCTTAGGCAGGGATGTCCTCTAGCCCCCCTCCTCTTTGTAATCCACATAGAAATTTTGTTGGATAACATCCGTTTTAATTCGGAAATTCAGGGTTTGAAACTAAATAACGGACTGCAGTGGAAAGGTGGGGCACTGGCGGATGATTTAACTATTGCATGTCAGAATAAAAAGGGGAACCCGAAAGCACTGCGAATGGTACTAAATGATTACGGTGAACTATCTGAGGCCTCTATTAATTGGAATAAGTCGGTCTATTTCTTACCTCCTTCGTACAACCTGGGAGTGAACTGGGGCTTAAAAGCAGTGCCATCTGATACCTCGTAACGTTTTTTGGGAGTACAAGTATCCTTGATTGACATTTCGGAGTTTCAAGATACAATTTTGGTGGAGAAATATTGCAATAGAATTTCAAGCTGGAAACAGACAAGACACCTCTCTCTGCTGGGGAGGGCCCTTGTTCTCTCTACGGCAGCGGGCTCAGTGCTGTGGTTTACGTTGGCAGTTCATCATTTGGGGGACAGAGCCTACCAGCAAATCAAAGAAGGTTTCAGGGCGTTTCATCTGGAAGCCTGAAGCACAGGAACAAGAAGGGTATATGCCTAAGGTGGCCTGGGAAACAATCACATTTCCCAGACACCAAGGCGGGCTGGGTATCCTGGACCCCAAACAACAGAACCAAGCTTTACTGGCTAAATGGCCGATAAAGGCCCTTACTTCAACAACGGATGAACCATGGCTGGCATTAGGCCTGCAGATCCTAGGTGAAGAGTGGTCTTTGAGCAGGCAGGAGGATGTGCTGGCATGTTTGCTGATACCCTCGTATGTCAATAAGCAAATAAAGTCTAAATTCTGGAGTGATGTTCTTCACGCCTGGGGCAAGTTATTTCCATCAGAGAAGATAGCTCCGAATTCAAAGGAAACGGTTCTCCTGGAAATTTTGTTTGAAAATCCACATATTAAGGATACTCAGGGCAATACCTTTCAGGCTAAGGCATCAGTTGGGCACTTTGGAAAGAGTTGGATAGAAAAGGGAGTGGTCAGGATAAGGGACATCTGGAGCGAAGATAAGCAGGACTGGATTGATAATGAAGAGCTGAAACAGAAGCTCCCTAGGATGAGGGGAATCCAACAGAAATTTAAGAGTCTAACAGAAGCCATACCGGATAGTTGGAAGAGAATACTGCGGACTAATGCTATACCATCAGAGGGTCTTTGGGGGAAAAAATTAAATGAGGATGGTCACTATGAATTTTGGCAGGTAATAGGTCCGGCGCTGGATGGTGGTCTTGAAGCCTTTGAGTGGCATGCACCTGCAGATTTGTCCTTTAGCAACGAAATTCATCAGGGCAGCAAAGGAAAACTGGACTCATTAATTGGCCTGAATGAGATCAGTGTGACGACCTCACTGACGACAGGAAATAGACCTGCAGCCAAGACTAAGAGGAAGTTGTTATCTAAGGGGAGTTCCATTAGTTAACTGGGGGCTAATCCAACTGCTTTAGGCTGGTACAGTGCAGAAAGAAAGAGGAATGTGACTCTTGAGGAGTATAAACCCAAAGTGGGCACTGAGGTACTTAGACGAAAAGTCAGAAAGCAGCCGTACTCCACAGTAACTAAAAGACGTGCAGAACAGGGCATCCTAGGTACATCGTCAGATATATTGCAAGCACTGTGGAAAGAGTTGATGGGCTTACCTTCCCAGAAACTGGCTAGTATGTTATGGCTTCACTCAATCCTGGCAACGGCTTCATCAGTGTGGTTGGCAGCTAAAGGTATGGAAATTTCCACTACCTGTACGAGATGCAAATGGGGTTGGGAGACAACGAGACATCTGTGGTTAACTTGCCCTGCCTCACGCCGTATCTGGGATTGGTGGATTCAGCATTGGGTCAAGTTCACAAAGAACAGCTTTGATTGGACTGACGATTGGATCTTAACAGGGTGCGGAATTGGTAATAAGGATTGGAAATACGTGGCCCAAGTGGCAAGGCCGGCTATCATGAAAGTTATCTGGGATGATAGAAACAACCCGCTGTTTCGTCATAAGTTCATGTCAGACATTCAGATTAAGAAGCGGATTACTTCGGACATTTGAAGAACTGCTATCTGTGACTGGGAACGTCATACATGTCGAAGGGACAAGCAGAAACAACGGAAATAGTTTGGGGAGACCTGGGGAAGAGACTCAGTGTTGGTAAGCATGGATGATAGGGGGAGGCTTTCTTTCTGTTCATGGTTGTTAACCACGATTGGTCACGGGGAACGGATTAGTACCCCGCCTTGAACAGAAGGATGGGTATGCCCTTTGGTCTTCCCCCGAATTGGTTGTGTGACAGGCTCCCGATCCAATGCTATGACTACCCTCTTCCCGAATCAGGCTAGATGGTTGGAGTTGGCAAGGCAGCAGAGTACAGGGGTGGGATTCCAGGAAGTAGGGGTAGTAGGGAACTTAGGTCCAACCCGGTGGTCCTGAGATTTCCAACCCTCCTTTTTATGTGAGCTTTAACGTAGACTGCTTTTTGGGGAATTTTGAGTTGGAGGAAAACAAGGTTGTTGGGACGTTGGAGTCGGTTGGACCCGGTTTCCAACTTTGAGCCGAATCTGGGTAATGGCCCCAGACATCCGGGTTGAATTGTGAGGTCCCCGGCGTCAACTTGTTTTCTTGGTAATAAAGTTTTGACATTCTCCAAAAAAAAAAAAAAAAAAAAAAAAAGGGAGAAAAAAAAAAAGAAAAAAAAAAAGATGGTAAGTAGACCTCCCCCCCCTCCCCCCCCTCCCAACCGGATGTCTCTTAATGGTAATTTGACTGTTTTTCCCCTCTGCGCAATTTTGACTGTGCGTTGTTGTAATCCAAAACTTAACCTCGTCCTCAATTCGCTGGAGAACAGACTACGTCCCAGCCAGACACCTTCGAGACTTTCTGTTCATCTAGTACTGGGTTCGGAGGCCTGAAAAAGAAACACTGCAGATGGTTCTCTACTGGTATCAGCAAGCCTGAAGCAAAACCCGAGGAGGGCAATTGAACATAGCGTAGTGAAACCACCACACGACCTCTTCAGTGTGGAAGGAGTCCGAAGTCGGCATCAACCATGGAAGGGAGTGGTGCGCAAAATGGAGCTGAGCTGACACTTACGTTTCGGGAGAAAGATTTCATGGCCAGAATGATAGGGTTTGATGTGCACCCTAGCAAACCATGGATTGTTTTTGTTTCTCGTAAAAAGACTCTACACCTTCGAGTGTGGGATTACGAAAATTGCAAGCAAATTGCTGCTGATGTTTCTGGTGACCAGAGGCATAAATGTTTTCGTGCAAAATTCCTAAGCCAGAAGGATCAGGTTGTAGTTGTCAGTGTGGACAAGGTTGCGACGTCCATGACTCTGTTTGAGATCTTGGGAGACTGGGGGAAACACATTCCACGCCCTGAAAGGGGAATAAGAGGGGTGAAGAGATTAAGGCAGTCAATCGACTTGCCGTTTGGGGAGTGGGGCTGGTTTATAAAGTGGACCACACATTCCCACGCACAGTGTATATTAATGACGGGGAAACTTGAGCTTACCTACGGGATTTGCTTTTGGGATTTAGACCATGATTTGCACAAACAGATAGTCCTGGATGAAACTGATGAGGTACTCAGTCTCCAATTCCATACTGTGGAGTCACACATTTTTGCAACTGAACATAAAAATGGGGCCATCAAGATATGGGATGCTGAAACGATGGCTGTTCTCCAAGCATTTCAACCTGAGAAGAACATTACTTCAATACAATTCTCCGGGAAGTCACACATCATCACGGGTCATAAATCTGGCAGAGTACAGGTTTGGGATTATCAAAGGAAACAATGCATGACCACTTGGAATGCACATCAAGAACAGGTTGTTCATGCTTTCTTCCATCCACACCTCCCTTACATAGTGAGTGCATCTACGGAGGGAACCATCAAGCTCTGGAGTGATTCAAGTTATAAGTTCGAAAAAATGCTCTGCAGTGGCCTTGAGGAATTGTACCGGACCCGTCTCTGTCAAAAGAACAGTATGCTAGTACTTCCACCTAGTCAGGGAGAGTTTCGTTTCTTTACTATCCGAGATCCGGAGAAGGAATATTCACCGTGGAAGGGCGTAGACAGACTGGCACTCCAAGTTGAGGAGAGGGATGCACCAAAGATAAAGGAACTGGAGGCTGAATTGAAAGCTGTGAGGGTGGAGAGGAAAGAAGTCAAAGAGGGATTTGAGAAAGAGAGGGAAACACATGCGCAACGGATAAATGAGCTTGAGACTGAGCTAAGCAAGCTAAGGATGGAGAGGCAGGCATTACAAGAGAGGTTTGAGAGATTGCAATCAGAGCATGACAGGCAGAAAGGCGTGCACTTGGAGAAGGTCAAGCAACTGGAGACCAGATTGAGCACTGTGACTGGGGAGAGGCAGGTGATGGAAGAGAGATTTGCAAAAGAAAGGCAAGCGTACACAAGAAGGATAAAGAAGCTTGAGACTGAGCTAAGCAGTATGGGGATGGTGAGAGACAGAGAGAGATTGGAGAGACTTAAATCAGATCATGAGATGGCAATGAGCTCAGAGAGCGTCAACCAGTTGGAAGACGAAATAAGCAACTTGTCGGCCGAGAAGGAGACACTCAAAGAGAGGTTTGAGAAAGCAAGGGTAAGCATTCAAGAACTGGAATGCAGGCTGGAGATCCAAGGAGGCACAGGTGAGAGATTGGGAAGCTCTGATGAAAAGCCGAAGGGGGTTCCAAATGGGGACTCCCATCCGTTCAAGGAGTTTTCCCTCGACGAATTGAAGACTGCCACAAATGATTTCGATTAGACCTCCAAACTCGAGCAGCAATGTTACGGAAGTGTTTATGTGGGAAAGATCACACCTGTTGCTGTAAAGAGACTTGAGGGTGGGAACAACATGACACGGAAATTCAATCAGCATTTCCAATTGACAAGGGATCTTGTCGACCTGTTGAAGTCTCTCCGACACCCGCACCTGCAGACTTTGCTCGGAGTGTGCTATGAAAGAAACTGTCTTGTATACGAACACATCGCCTACGGAAATGTGAAAGACTGGATCTCATCAGGGCGAGCGTCATCGAGGGGCCTCTTGCCATGGTATATCCGCCTGCGGATTATGGCTCAGATCGCCCAAGCCTTGTCCTTCCTTCATTCCAGCAGGTCACTAGGAGGTGGACCAGGTCCTATCATCCACCGTGCCATTAAGCCCGAAAATGTCTTTCTGGGTAGCAATTTGGTGGCAAAACTCACTGAGATTGATGAGGCCCTGCTTGGCCCAGACAGTACTGAAGACGATGGAGCACCTGGAATGCCTTCGTCCCTCAGAGCTGATATTCAGTACCTGGCTCCGGAATTCTGTCGCACAGGGGTGTTCACTCAACAGACGGACGTCTACGCGTTTGGCATCACAATCCTTGAAATCCTCACCGGGAAATTCAAGAATGCATTGGGAATTATGGAAGACGCAGCGGAAGATGCTGCAACCTTTGCAAGTATTTTGGACCCAAATGCTGGAGCTTGGGACATGGATCTGGCCATGGAAGCGGCACAAGTGGGTCTGAGATGTGCAAGTTTGAACAAACGCAGCCGGCCGAGCATGCTGACAGGTGAAGGTGCCATTCTGCCTGCACTGGAGAGTATTGCTAGTAAAGTGGAACTTGCTGACTCGATGGAACCTTTGTGAGTAGCTCAGTCACAGTGTTGAAGTGGAAAAGTGGACGCAACAAGGCAGGACGAAGAGGTAAAGCTTGATGATGGCATTTCACTGCCCTCACTTTACAGGATACTATGTCTTCTTTTTTTTTTTTTTTTTTGAAGAAAGCTCCAATCTATTGATGGGGATACTTTGTCACTCTATGTTTTGTGGGATTCCAGGCTGATAACGCTCCGTTACATCTCAATTAAATTAAGAGGGAGAGGACGTCATGTATCTTTGTCTGAGTACTTTTCGCTATGAACTTCCATTCTTTTTTTTTTTTTTTTTTTTTTTTTTTGGCTTCACCTATGGCTTCTTTCTTTAATCATCTAATGCTGCTTCTTCTCAGTCTTCTCTATGTTGCTTGCAATTTGTTTTTTTCTCGGCTGGTTCGTATGGTTTTCTCCCTTGGACTGCAGTGGTGAGAGCACTGAGAGGGCAACAACTCTTGGCCAACAAGGAACTGACAAGACTTACTTCATTCAAAGTTATTTAATAACTTTGCCTTGACTTCTTTTCTTTTCTCCCTATTCTCCTCTTGCTGCCTTTCGCGACGTGTCACCCTCTGGGCCTTTGTAACTCTGTTGAATCCTTTTTTTTTTTTTTTGTCCTCTGTTGAATCTTTGGTTCATAAAGAAGTGTGTATGTTTGTCTCCCAAGGTTCATAGAGTCAATGGCTGTTGTTACCTAGTTAGGATATAGTGATTGTGGATCATATAAGGGTGTGTATGTGCAGGTTGTGATGTAGCTGTATTTTCACTGGAAAATAAGACTTCGAAAAAACTGCGCCTGTGACGGCTGCACAGTTCAGAATTCGCAGAAATAACAGTCCACGGCAAGATTGGGCCGTGAGCAGTTCAAAACAGCAAGAGAAACAGTGAACTGCTCGTTATAAGGCCTACCGGTTCTATAATGGGCCAAAGCCGGGGATAATTGGTAGAAAGAGCCCACGCCAAAACCTTTTCCGTTTTGGCCGCCCAAAGTTCGGCCGTTTGGTACTACCGGCCCAAAAAAACTTTCGCCTGGGTGAAAGCGCCTTGGCGCCGTCGCCACATCTCCATGGGCCTGTCTTTACCGGTTCAGGAACTTGGCGCTGTTTCTGCTCCAGATTCATGAACCGGTAGGGCCCTTCTTTTTCAAAATAGCGCACCTGGGCCTCATTCTATACCTCAGCGTTAGCACCCCCAGCCTCTTTTACATCAAAATGAATCTGGCGCTGTTATGGGCCAGATTCATGATCCGGTAGGACCCTTGGAGGAACGCCTGGGCCTGTAGTACCCCGGATGCAAGTCCTTGTGACGCGTGGGCCTGTAGTACCCCGGATGCAAGTCCTTGGGCCGGTAGCACCAAACGGCTAAACTTTGGGCGGCCAAAACCGAAAAGGTTTTGGCATGGGTGCCTTCTACCGATTATCCCCGAAAGCCGGACGTGGCCTGGCCTAGCAGGCCCTCAAGGTTTTTTTTTTTTTTTTTGGGGTTCTGGCAGGAAAGAGTTCGGGCAGGAAAAGCGGCCGACAGCGCCCCGTTCACACCCGCCCCACTCTCTCTCTCTCTCTCTCGCTCTCTCTCTCTCTCACTCTCTCTCTCTCTCTCTCGCTCTCTCTCTCTCTCTCTCTGTGCGTGTCTGCTACTCTGTTCACCAAAGTGCGAATGTATCTGGCGCATTTTCTGCGTCAGATACATTCGCACTTTTTTTTTTGGACATGCTAATCTTCTCTGTATCTTTCCAATCCTTCCTCTCTCTCTCTCTCTCTCTCTCTCTCTCTCTCTCTCTCACACACACACACACACACACACACACACACACGCACACGCACATACACACACACACACACAAATGGAAAAAAAAAGTGGCAGTGTATATTTCCATTTTCTCAGCCAAGATTCATTCCGATTTTGCTCAGCCGATGAGCAAAATCGGAAAGAATCTTGGCCGAGAAAATGGAAATATACACTGCCACTTTTTTTTCGGCTGAGCAAAATCGGAATGAATCTTGGCTGAGAAAATGGAAATATACACTGCCACTTTTTTTTTTTTCCGTTTGTGCGTGTGTGTGTGTGTGTGTGTGTGTGTGAGAGAGAGAGAGAGAGAGAGA